GGCAGTCGGACAGTGAGCTGTAGGGCGTCTGGAGGCTGGATGGACAACATGTCTCCACAGCAGCAGCAGCAGCAGCAGCAGCAGCAGGACAGCCTGAGCCGAGGCGGCGGGCAGCAGGACAACAAGCGGGTCTGTGCTTCTCTTATCATTTATTATGGATATTAGGATCGTTTTATGTTAATAATAGATCTGATTCTAACTGTAGGTTATTTCATGGTTCATTTGTGGTCGTTCGAGCTCCAGCCTGAGCGCGCAGCGGAACCAGAGACACTTCGTCTCCAGACCAAACATTTTACTGCTGACACATGAATGAGCGTGTTGTAAACGCGCTGCGTTCAGCTGAGAGGTCAGATCAGAGTTCAAGGCTTTTACCAAACTGACATGTGCGTCCGTAAAGACGCTCAAACAAGCCGGAGGAGAAGGTTGAACGTTTTAGGATGATGGATGCGCGCACAGGTGGTGCGGCCTCATGGAAAGTGAAAGATACCGAAATAAACCGGCGCTGAACGCGCATTTACGCACAGTGAGGCATTAGAAAGGTCCGAGCTGCAGTAAAATAAAGAATGATCACATTAATAACGCATCCATCACTTCTCATTAATAGCTTCTATACTTTGACCTGCAGGAAAATCATTTATTTCACCATCTCATAACTCCAGCTGCTGCTTTGTAACAATATAATAATCTTTATATAAATCATTAGGTTTTAAAAGACAGATAAGAACAACAGTTGGGGTGTAAATGATTGAAACACAAAGAATCTCTTCCTGTGTGTGATAGTAGATGAACTGCTGCTGTGGAGGAATTCATGATTACAGTTTGTGTAGTTTTTAGCTGTAGGTGACAAAAATAATCATTAAAATGTGAATAAATGCATTTTCTCTAAACATCACACATCAACAATCATCTGGTACATTATTAATGATCTCCAGTCTTTACACCAGCAGCCTGTTTTTATGGTTCTTTCTCTTTCATTTTCCTTCTTGTCGTTTCTAAATCCGACCCGTGAGTCAGCAGCCGGGTTTATTTGTAGGATTCTCTCCTGTGAGCTGGAGCTGAGCCACCTGACAGAGCAGCTATTTGCATTACTCATTCAGTTTAAAGTGAAACATTTGCTTGTTGCAGCTTTTCAAACGTGAGGATTTGTGGTTTTATTTCAATTTTACATAATTATAAACAGGATATTTTTCTGTTTTCTGACCTAATGACCAAATTGCTAGTCGATTACACAAGAAAAGAATGAGCTAATTAATCAGTGATGAAAATAATTAGGTGCCCACCTGCTCTTTGTTTGGGATATTCTGGCTTTTCTTGGGCTTAGTTTGTGCTGCATCCATCGCTAACTATGATTGTGTAACAAACCTTGTGGTCTGGAGACGATATTAACCTGAAACATGCCGGCAGTTTTGCATTCCTTCTCTCTTGAGAGTCTTTTCATTTATTCACAATAAATCTTTTTTTTTTTGTGGCTTAAGGAAGTCATGGTGATGTACCGATGGCTTTAGTTGTAGAGGCTACAATCTGTCCTTGTTTTCATTAATAATTGATTCACATCAGCTCCAGTCAAGAAGACACAAACATCACCGCTAAGTCATTCATTCCTGCTGCTGCTGCTGAAAACTCCTGATAGAACGAGTGAACAAAGTGTTTGCTGCTGATGTGCTGCCCCACCTGTAATAAACCTAAACGCCACGGCAGGAAATGAAGCAGCTCAGAAATTCAGTGTCAGAGATTTGATTTTAACACGTTTCCCTCCTTCTCCGTCTTCTTTTTTTAGTTTGCATGAATGACTTTCCCCTTTGTGTTGTAACACAGTCAGTAATAACGGGGTGACGTTGGGTTAGTCAGTGGGTTTGTTTCCTGGCAGAAAACTCATATCTGCATGAAAGCCTGTTTTAGTTTATTTTTAGTCCTGAAAGGTAACGTTGTCATGTCGTGGCTGCAGCGTCAGGAATGTTTCAGCAGCGTGTGACTCGGCTAAATCAATGATATTACATTGTGAAATGTCAGAAATGTGTGAATATGCTCGGTGGCTGTAGGGCAGAGGGGGACTGATGTTTTCACACTGTGGAGGTGTTCGTTTTTACTGGACTGAAGGTTTTAGGTTTAACCTTGGGGCAAATCGGTGAATGTGAAGTCTGACTTGGATCGATTGCTAAAAAGATGAATCGTGCTGACTGTGGTGATCCGCAGACGTTTCTTATTGCTCCACCATGAGGTTAACAAGTGGTTTTGAGTGAAATGTCTGAAAAACTAGCCTTAGAGTTTAGTAAAGACATTCATGTCTGTGGGAAATGAGCGGTAGATCTGACTGAAGAGCTTGAGGACACATCCATAAGTCGCCCCGCCCTGAAACTCACCCTGCTTTGTAGTGTGTTTTCCTCTAAACAGGACTATAATTAAAAAAAGGAACCGCATGCTGTATTGATGCAGACATGAAGCTAATGATTCAGACCATAAACTGATGAGGGAAATGTTTACTGAGCTAGTAAATCAAGTGAGAAGTGGGTTATTTCCTTACAGACGTCTACCACCAGAGGAGTCTGCCCCTGCTGGTCGTTAAAAGTAATGCAGGCTGAGAACACTTTGCATTGGTTTCACTTTTCACAAGCTGGTCTGCTCGTATCTTAACTGTTGGTCAACCCCTGTTTGTTGGCTTTCAGTGACAGTTATCAGAGTTCTTCGATGGTACATTTGATGAAGTGAGCAAGGGAACCTAAAAGTAGCTCTCTGCAACTTTCCCCTGAGTCTGTCAGTCAAGTGATCCTGGTCTGGCAGGACCCAACAGTTTGTTGGACTCCTCACTTTGCATTTAGTGCACATTAGCAAATATAAACATGCTACACTAAGATGATTAACATTGTAAACATTGCTACACATCACCTTGTTAGCATCATTACTGAGATCATCTCTAGACTGTATGTAAACGATGGACGTAGCCACAGTGACGTCACCCATGGGTTGGTAGATTCAACAGAACCGGGACATGATGAGCCAAACGTGGACTGACTGAAGGAGGCTACACATTCACATAGGCACATCCAGCTTTATCTTTTGTTCGACCCTAAATGGGACCATAATTTACAAAATGAACATGCTGTACTGAGCAAAACTTGAAACTCGTGATTAAGACCATGTTTGCTGAGGTAACAAATCAAGTGAGAAATAGGCTCATTTTCTTGTTGTATCACACACAACCATGCTTCTTTTTTCAACCAGAGGAGTCGCCCCCTGGTGACCGTTAGAAAGAATGCAAGTTAAAGCACTTCAACGTTGGCTTCATGTTTCAGACCAAGAGGCTACGTCCTTCTTATAAAAACATGGATGTGACCACGTTAGCATGCTGACATTAGCATTAGAGGGACCGCTCACCAACCTGCTAGCACACCTGTAAACATGTCATTAGAATAACTATTTTTAGTGAGTAAAATTGTTCGTACAATGCTAATGCAGAAAATGTAAACATCAGCAGTTTAACCACATCTGCAAAAATTCCCAGAACATTTTAAACCTCAGCCTCCCTCAACGTTCTTACCCATCGGCCCGAAACACACCCTGGACCCAGTGGTGTATTAGGGGACCGTGCCACTAAGTGTGGTAATCTGACATACAATGAAAGAACTGTGGTTATGTAACGCTTGTTTATCACCCCGCTCCACACACACACAAATCCTTCCACAATTAGATTAAATGAGACGTCTATGATCCTCGTGGGGAAACCTTGGATAATAGGATCCAGCAAAGAAAAACAGGGTATCAATATGGCAGCAGCTGGTGCAGCAGAGGAACAAGATCAGTTCAGTGTTGAAGAGACATTTTATTTATACTCGTTTGGCATTTCAAGCACAGATATTTGATTAGAATTTTGGACGACAAAACCACACAATGACCTATAAAAGAGTTAAAGCCAGAAAAACTGATTTTATAGTAAACTAAGTGGCTGTGAGAAAGGTCAGGAGTGTCGTGGAAAAGACCGATCGTAGTCCAGCCTGACTAAACTTCATGCTCTGACATTCCTCTGTGTTTAAATTTTGCTGCTTCAACCTGCTGTCGTGTTGGAGGCCACGGTCAGTCCCAGGGCTGTGATGAATGTGTTGAACATCAGGGCGCTTACGTAACCGCTGAGCAGAGTGTAAACATGACATAAGCATGGAGAGGAGTCTTGTCCGGTTCTCTTGGTGAGAGTTTTTCAGAGCAGTGTGTGTGCTCTGAAGTTTGACCAGAACTTTAAAGAGGCCATCTCTGCATGCCTTTTGGGTTTCCCCAGTCCTTAGGTGTCATATATTTGCTTTTTTAAACATAAAAATAATCTTCAAACTCACAGAAAACAGCTCCTTACCTGCCTGAAAGCTCTTGAAGTCCAGGCTTGTTACACGTTGATGTCATCGTGTAACACATCTGCACAATGCTTGCTTAGCGGCTAGTTTATCATGACAAAGAATGAATGACTTCCTCACTATCCAACTTTATTTCACTTCTGCTGTGAATACAACCCCATACTCACAGATCTGGGTTTTTGTCAGGCCAGCTGGCCAATCAGAGCTGACTCAGCATTTCACGAGGGGGTCCTTTAAGAATCAGGAGCTAAAACAGAGCGTTTCAAACGGAGGGTAAGGAGGGGAGCTGCAGGGATTTTTAAATATGAGAGCATGTAAATACATTTTAGTAGATCCTATAAATAAAGCGACAAACCTGTAAACGTGCAGAATGTGGGCCCTTTAAATTTGTCAGGTAGGAAATACCAAGATGAGCTGATTTTGTGAAATTGTCCCAATTGAGGCAAAGCTGCAGGAAAAAATGATAAACTCATGAGAGAAACATCCACTATGATATTTAAATCAAATCCACATGAAGTCCAGGAGTCAAGGTTTCTCAGCAAAACGTTGCTTTAGAAGGAGACCATCAATGTTTTTCACTTCACCTGTCAGTGGTTCTAATGTGGCTCATCTGTGTAGTTTTCATCCTCCTTCATCAGCCTTTTTCTTTGTCTTTTTTAGAGAATGAAGACTCAGAGTTATCGACGCCAGTCGGCTCCGTCTCTGGTCATCACCAAGGCTCTGATCAGGTCCAAGACTCTGTCCAGGTAACGTACATTACATTTGGAGCCCACATTTAAAGAAGGAAAAAGGTTATTTTTGCTCTGGTTCATTTGCTTTTTTACTGAGGAAAGTAGTGCAAAAGCCCTTTATTAGAGTTTATATAAAGTTTATAGTGATGTTTCTTGACAGTTTGTAGCTGGATTGAACCGCAGATTGACTTAAAATCATATAAACAGAGGGCTGGTTCTAGCAGAGCTACAAGGATGAAGCCATTATTCGATTAGTTGTCATTAGCTTGAGTAATTTTTTGACTCCAGCTTCTTAAATGTGAATATTTTCTGGTTTCTTTGCATCTCTTTGACAGTAAACTAATTATCTTTAGGTTGTGGAAATAACCACACAGTCGCCATGTTGGGCTTCAGGAAACACTGATCCACATTGCTGACTAGTTTTTAAAACTTTCTAGCTGATCCATTAAGTTGTTTGCACTCTTTGGCCTGTGTCACGGTGAAGAACTCTAAACACAGTGTCGTAAATCCACTCATGTGTGTGTTGAGTGTCATTAAAGGTTAACAGCAGGTTAAGTAGATCAGTTGGAACTTCCTCAGATGCACTCAGACCTCCTCCAGCTCTGTTACACGGCGGTCGCCGAGGTCAGGCCATCCCGACAAAACCCCGAGGCCACGCTCTCACACACGTGCACACACTCACATGCACGCTCGTATGGCCGAGGCACAACCCTGAGTAAGATGTTGGAACCACTCGCATAGATAATCCTCTTGTTGCCAGAGGATCAGGCATCTATTAATAGAGTCTGTCTTTGAACATATGTACTGGGAAAGTGAAGAAGAAGTAACCTTATTAATGAGCTGTACAGAAGCTCTGATTAACACCCACCCGCTGTTCTGGAGTGTTGACATGGTTCATCCAACACGTCCTCGCCTGTAAAACCACATGTGTGAACATTTATCCTCCTCTGACACATCAGTAGCAGCTCAATCATCCTCAGGCTTTAAGTTTTCCTTTTTTATGATTTAGCCAAATTATGTCAGATGACTTGTTTACACCTTGTTTTTCATATTTTTCAGTTTTAATAGGATTATTTCTAAATTCCACCAACAGTTCAACATTTTGGTCGATACGCTGATTAAGATGAGAAGTTTGATGCCATCACTGCATTAGAACCTGCAGCTGCTTAGCTTAGCTTAGCTTAGCTTAGCATCCAGACAGGAACCAGGAGACAGAACCTCTGAAGCTCACTAAATACCACATTTTGTCTTTTTTTTAATTTAATCTGTGCAACAACTGAAGAAGAGAGTTTATCAGTAGCCATGTGCAGGATGATTTCTGAGCTAGCTGCAACCTTTTCATCACTAGAAGGTGCTAATTGATGATCTGTTAGAAGTACCGATGAAGAGCTGGACACTCAGCCATGACAGCCACTCACAGTATTTCAAAGTTAGAACCCAGAAGATATTTTCCTTTGATTCGACACCTCCAAATTCAAACGAGCTCAGCTGCAGCGGGAGGTCTGATGAGTCAGCAAATCCAGAAGATAGAGAAGATTTTCATCCTTCATCTGAGTTTGGAATCCGTTGTGCTGTTCTACGTCTGTAGGTGCTAGTTTTTCGATTTAATCAAGTGTGGAGTGGAACAAGCACATTAAGTATAATAATAAATACGTATAATGCAGTCTTTCTGCTTTAACTACAGGATAAGGTTGTACTTTTTCCTCCACTACATGCTATGTGGTTAAAGTTAGACGACCTGACAGTTAGCACAAGTTCAACTGTTTCATTGATTACTAAATGACCAGGCAACTGTTTTGATAATTGTTAGTTGATTTTCATGCAAAAAAAAAAAGTTTCATGACCTCACAAAACACGTCATTGGTCAAAACTAGTAATTCAAGACCGCCTTGAGGGAATTTCCTCCAATTTTGCACAAACGTCCGTTTGGACTTGAGGATGAACTAATTAGATTTAGGTGGTCGAAGATCAGTGTGAGCTCATGAAATATGCTTTTTGGCATAACTTTCTAATTATTATTATGAAAGATGAAATGATGAAGTTCTGGCATTTTGCATCCAAAAGGTCAAAGGTCCAGTTTTTGCTGAGTCATACTTCTAATACTTTTATCCTTTCTTACCACTTTTGCTTGTAGCAGAGTACTAGTACTGTGTGGTTATCATACTTTCGCATAAGTTCTGGAAGCTCCTTCTGCTGCTACATCCAGGCTAACTGCTAAACGTTCTTCTGTCTCTCGGCATCAGACAGTGAACGACTTGCATGAATTACATAATGTAGTTTATGTAATGAAGAGCGCTTTGATGTCTTGTCACACTCTCTGGAATCCAAAAGCCAATGTGGATCATGCAAACTTAATACAGAGCGAGTTTGAAGCTGTCTTGTGTTCGGTGATGAAGGACACCAGTGATGGAGACCCCTCTGGTGAAAATCAAGCCTTTCACCTCTTTAACGTGTCCATATGGTGTTTTTTTTATACGCCAGAGGACACATCATGAGCAGAATAAGTCGTCGACACCATGGCTGTGTGGTTCCACCTTTAAACTGCAGTGTGCTGATGACGGCCTCAAAATCACAGATTCTGACTTCCTGGATTTGCTATGTCACAAACCTAGCGAACCAATCAGGGTGCAGGGTGGTAGCTTCTCTATCATTCTCCTTCTTCAGAATTGGTTTCTGGTTCAAACGCATGACTGAGTTACTCCAGTATTACAACTGTAGCTTTACATCGTCGGAGCAGAGCAGCAGGTGAGCTGGTGTGCTCGAGCTGCAGTGATTGGATAAAGAGAGGTGGACAAAGAAAGAGGCAGAGGCTTCATAGACCCAACGTAGATCGGATGAGTTCCAGCAAATGTATTTTAAGACAGGAAGGGATTATTTTCATGGAGACAAACTTGTAAGAGATGAGATTTTAGGAGTTTAATCACAGACTGGAGCAAGACTTTGATCAAACAAGCGTTCACTCATCAGGATTTTCAGCAGGTACCTCATACAGGTACGACTTCCTGCTCACTGATCACAGCTGAATTGATAACACCCTGTTGTGGGATGTGATTGTGCTGAAAGAACGTACTTCCTGTGTGGACTCAGGCTCTTCAGAGTGGCCCAGAAGGTTCTGCTGGTGTTTCATCAGGCCTTCATGTGGCATATCTGCTTGGTTGATGATCCTCACGGTGTCAGCTGAAGCATCTGTTCAGTGATGACGGTAGTTTTGTTCGTGGCCTCGTTTCCCTTCAGCCCTGACTCAACAGAACTCCTCTCACACTGGCAGGAGAAACGGCTCTGGACCCGTTTCACGTGATCCATCCAGAATCTGAACTCATCTCAGCGCTCCAAGGTGGAGATGAAACTAGAACAAGAAGCTCGATTGTGTCTCTCTGCCTATGAGACTCTAATATGAATGACGTGACTGTATGAGTGTTGTCAGGGTCTCGTTATGCAGCTGCAGCTCGCTCAAAACTAAGTTCTCTCATCAGGCCAAATGAATCTGATAAGATAGGAAAGTTTGAGCCAATGACTTATCTGCTGCTCAGCATTACCATGTTCAAAAACAACTTATTGCATTACATAAGAAGTGTTCGGAGGAACTTTCATAGCTTAGAAGCGGCAGCATGACTCATATCAATGTGCAGTGACTTATGTGTAGCGTCTCAGATAGTAGATGGTGTTTGTTCTTCCATTTTCCATGGTATCAGGTCTTTACTGTACGTCTACTGGTTTTTTTTTAAATGCTTGACAAGTAATGTCCAGAAATGTAAACAGAAAAGAGCAAGTATTCACCACACAAGAGACTTTAAATGGGCTAGCTGCAGTAGTTACCGTAGTGATCATGTTAGTTTGATGTTTGTGATACATACGATTGAACAGTAACATGAAGCGACATATAATGAACAATAATGCACTCATAAACAAAAGAACTCTAAACCCATTATGTTAGATGATCTGCAGCTTATAGACTATGACTGTGTTACAGCTCACCTGTCTGAGGTGAAGTGTGACTTACTGTTAGATAGTGACCAATGCTGGAGATCATTTATAGCTGGATTGATAAAGTTACTGATGCTCATGTGGATCCAGCTGCAGCTCTTTAATAAACTCAGATTAAAGACTCCTACAAACATCTGGAAGCAACAACCTTCAGCTCCTGTTGATGTTTTGTTAAACCTGGGATTGTTTGTAATATTTGTCAGTCTTATAAATCTGACTTCATCAAAGTGAAGTTTTGTTTTTTTAAATATTTTTCTTTTGACAAATTGTCTCTTCTGTGGCTTTTTGTGATTTGGCAGCAAACTGTCTTTGTGTTGTTCTGGACCAACATCGGCGCTGAAATGTGGAACGACTTCCCCAGATCACTTTACTCAACTGGAATTAGCCTACGTCACACATGTCTTCCTGTTAATGTGCCTGGGACGGCTCAGACAGTACGATAAGGAAGTGTTACTTGATCCGATGTGGTAGGATGCTGTCGCGACTTTTATGGAAAAGTGAACAGGATGAGGATTCAGACATGAAGTCGACACGAGAAGATGCTGAACAGAAACGAGTGCAAGTCTGAAAGAGGCTTTTCACTGCATGAATAGTCGATGTTTTCATCAATCAAACAATGAATGAAAGTGGTTTTGTCAGAGGAAGCAGAGGGATTTATGGGAAATGTGGTTTAAAATGGAGATCCCATTGTACCCAAGTTAGTTTGTCCCCTTTGTTTGCCACCCAGAGAGAGCTTCCTGGTTCCTGTGTGTCCAGAGACCTGCCCGCTGGTCCAGTCCTTCCTCACCGACTCCAGCAGGTCCTTCCTCCTCCACGGACACGCTCAGCTGAAGACGGGGATGCAGACTCAGGACAGACACCTCTTCCTGTTCAACGACATGCTGGTGATCGCCAAAGCCAAGTAAGCGTCTCTATCTGTGGCTTAGCCGCACTTTGGCCTTCACTGGTGAATTAGGTCAGTGCCCGGTTCTGAGGCTGAAATCAGAGTGAATGTGTCGCTCCCAGGTCGGCCAACCACTTCAAACAGAAGGCCCAGGTGTGTGTGTGCGAGATGTGGACGGCGGGATGCATGGACGAGGTGTGTGAGGGAAGCACGAACCCCGAGAGCAGCTTCGTCATGGGCTGGCCCACCTGCAACTGTGTGGCTACGTTTAGGTAACGCACACGCACAAAGACACAAACATTCACACGTTATGGAATGTGTTTCGTGTTTAAACGTGTGGACGATCACGTAAATACGAACCCTGCTGGTATACTCTACCTGATGAGTGTCCAGATTGATTTTGTAGTTCTTGTATATTTCACAGCTCAGTGTTTAGAAGTTTGAACCGAGGCTCAGTTTCATCAAAACCGGTTACGAGATTGGAAAGTGAAACAGCCGAACCCAAACTTACGTCAGAGGCTGTAAAGGTGTTTATGTTTCAACAGAAAATATGTTGGTGACGCTGTAAACTTGACCTTAAATGCCAGAGGAGCAGACAGCAGACAGGATGAGGCACTGAGCCGTACCCCCCCATGTGATGTAGGGCTCGTATTTATCAGGTGTTTTCAGTCGGACGTGGGTTCAGACTGACAGAAAAACATCCCTGTGATGCATTTCTGGCTCTGCTTTTAGGAGCAGCAGTAAAAGCATGTCGACATCTTTCTGATTCGGGGAGGACAGTGAGCTCGGTCCTGTTCTCCGATCGGCAGCTACATCATCACAGTTTGTACTTTAAGCCTGAGAGCGTCGTTCAGCAGAAGGCAGTTCTCTGAACTGTCGTCACTGCAAGTCAGAGCAGGAAGCATCGTAAACATGTCTGTCCTCCTCCGAGGGACTGTTTACAGTCATACGATAAGTTCACTGGCTGCTCTTCGGAGGAATTTCCAGGAATATTCAGGCTCCAACCTGAAAACCTGCATGTGCTCATCAAACAGTCTGTATTAGAACTCTAACATTTCATGTTGGCCTTTATCTGACATGCTGATGTTTTCCAACGAACTTCAGCTGATGGTGACATACGAACACATCTTTTCCACCGAATTGCAGAAGAACAGTTTGTTCTGTGGTGGAATTAACATCTAATTATGATTCCTGTTACGGTGACGATTCACTGAAATACAGTTCTTTTCAATGCTAGAAAAAATAATAAAATTTCTTCAGCCTGTAAAACATGTTATATTTAGTTTATGTAATGAGTTGTCTGCCTGTCACTGTAAAGTTGGGGCCAATGGTGATGTTTAATTTAATTCTTCATCAGCTGATAACAGTAATGATGCAGATGATGTGTGAAAATTTTCCCTTTTACTATTTGAGGGGACACAGTCACTGCATCCTGGGCTAAATGCCGCCTAAGACGATAAAGAAATACAAGCGTTTTTCATCCTCTGTAGTAGAATAAGAGTGAGGTCGGTGCAGTCAGACCATTCTGCACAGTGCTGAGTCAGCGCTAGAGAGCTCGTTTACACCAGGCATTAGAACTGGTTTAGATCTTATTTCCCCGCTTTATGTGCAAGTAAACACGAGCATTGTTTCTGTTTGCAAAGAACAAATACATGCTGCAGGTAGCAATAGAGATACATTGAAAGGAAGTTACCGTTTTGCCTGTTGTCTTAACCCGTTACTGCACTTTAACGCGATGCTGGTGGGATGTGAATGAGTACGTACGACTACTCACACAGAGGAAGTCGTTTAATTAGCCGGTCCTTCAATGTGACTCAGAACGCGCTGCTAAAAGAATGTTGGTCGTACGGAGCCCAGAGGAGATCAGGAAGACACGTTGAAGCCAGATGTGATCAGTGTATATAATAATAATAGTGTGAAGCTCATTAGATATTTGTGCTTCTCCTCAGCTCAGCAGAACAGAAAGAGAAGTGGCTCTCCCTCCTCAAAAGGTAAACATAGCTCAACACAAACTCTGATATTTATTGTATGTGTGCGTGACAAGCGGCGTTTCCTCCTTGTGTAGTCGGATAAAAGAAGAGAAGGAGATGGAGGAACCTAAAACCATCCCTCTGAGAGTCTACGGGAAGGGACTCAACACTTACGCTGTTGTAAGTTTACTTGATCTTATTGTACTAACTCTGTGTAAACACACTCTGAGGTGATGTTACGATGACGTTCATGTCTCTGATTAGACCAAGACGCTCCCGGTCAGCAACTCAGATTCAACCAATGAGGTGATCCGACTGGCCCTGCAGCAGTTTGGCATCATAGTGAGTAATAAATACCAGAAAATCCCATTTCTGTCACTGTTTACCCACAAGTTATTAGTCAAAGCAGAGTCATTTGAGTATCTCCAGAGAGGATCCTTCTGTTCTAGTCCACTCAAACAGAAGGATTTCCTCGTTTAGCGTGCTTGTTAGATGAATGATCTTTGGGTTTTGTTCAGTTGATGAGTGTTTTTCTGTTTATTTTATTTATGCGTTTGTGTATATTCAGATCTGTGAGTGCAGGTCAGTTTAAAGTCACAGCAGAAGCATAAACCAGAACTCAACAGAGGCCAGTGTTTTATAGATGCCTCCGGAGCACCAGCAGCATGTGAAAACTTAAAGAAAACACCACTCTTTGTCGGGTTTCTCAGCCCTTCCTGGAGCGGTTAGCTCTCTAGTGTTTGCTGCCTGTTGTTGTTTTTCACACTGTCGTTCTGTGTGTTTTGTCAGGGAAACGTCCGAGACTTCCAGCTGTGGGTCATCTCCAAGAGGGACACGACTCCTTATCCTCTGATCGGTCAGTGAGTCCGACAAAACTGTCACAGTTAGTTTCCTGAGCCACCTGTGTGGTTGAGTTTCTCTCCAGGCCCTGCGGGCACAAACCTCTGAACACCGGGGTGAGACGAGTTATTTCAGGCACAGTGGAGCATTCATTCCCAGAGAAGAGCGTCACGTAGCTCCTGCAGGGAGCCGCAGAGGAGCTGCTGACCGATAATGTGATCTTTCTGTTGTTCTGTTACAAAACTGTCCTCGTCTCTGTCTCAGGTCACGAGTTTCCCTTCAGCATCCAGATGAGTCATGTGAGACCCGGTCAGGCAGGAGGTGGAGGCAGAGATGCTGCCGCAGCACCTGCAGACAGAGAGAAGATCCTGCAGGCGGAGCAGGTCTACAAACAGTGTCAGTTCATCCTGAAGCCTCGACCCGCCGAGGCGCTGCAGCAGCACGTTTCTGCAGGTGAGCTCGTCCGACTTTACCCGAGTCAGTTTGTACTTCAGTAGCTTTGTGTAAGTGATGTTTAAAAACTAAAAGATGAAGCAGTAATCCTCACGCTGTCTGGGACGTTTAATCAGATTTGCCTCAGAAGTCATTCAAACGGAGGCGTTCGCTCATCGCCTGGGCCTTCTGGAGAGGCTCCTCGTCCCACCTCAATGAGCTGTCCCTCGCCGGCGCCGCTCGAGGCTGCCTGTTCAGCCAGCCGCTCAGCTCCGTTTGTGTGGACGACGCCCTGCCGAAGCCCGTCATGGTGAGCAGGAACACTGACACAGACATCCACACTGAGGCCTTGTCCACATGTCGGGCATACGGGTGTTTACTGCTACGTTTTCTATGTGTTTGGACCTTTCATCCACACAAATGCAGTTTTAGTTCTTGGGAAACGCTCTCTGGATGAAGATTTTCTGAAACTTTTCGTCAGAGGTCTCACGTCTTTGTTATTGTTTTGAACATCCTCGTCTCTTCTGTCCTGTTACCTGGAAATCAGGGTTATTGAGCCGAGTTGCTCGTGAGGATGTACGAAGATGCAGCTGAAATAAAGAAACCAAGTTTATTATTGAAATCAGTCAGCCATCATATGTTTCTTGTTTATGTAAAACTATTTTGTACTTCACTTCAAGTTGTCACGATCACCATGAGCAGATAATGCAGCTCTGCTACACGTCATATTAAACTGATGTTGCTCCGAGGCGAAGACGTCTCAGTTTGTTAAATGCCTCCAATCTCATATGGGAGGGGAGAGGAGGTGAGGAGGTGAGGAAAGGAATCAAGGATGTACAAACTCAGAAATGGGACGAGGGGAGAATGTGTGCTGTTACGTCATGTGTTGGTGGGGGTCTGCATTTGAGAGGTGCAGTTCAGTCTTTATGTTATTTATAGAAAATGAAGGAAAACCTGATTTAAAAAAACATCTGGACAGCACTTAAGTCATTTTAAAAACATCTTGCATTCATCCAGGTGGTTTTTGTTGACACCTAACAGTACAGACAAATTAAAGGACGGACCTGAACTCTTGAGCAGCTCTTGTTGTTCGTCCCTCCGGCAGACCTTCAGAGGCTAAAGAGAAGATGAATAGAAAGATGCAGTGAAGCTGTTCTGGCAGCACATTGTGTCCAAACTCCTCACTAAGACACTTTGTGTTGGTTGTTCTGTTATTTGTCCTCAGAGAAAGTTGTTTACAGCCACACGTCCACCACCTCACTGGACTGGTGTGGATCATAGTTTAGATTTAATTATACAGTAATCAGCATCACATCTCAGCCTGTAGGCCACCATGAATCTGGAGTTTAAAGTCCTTCTACTGCTCAGTTGTTAACTGCTGGGGCTCATCCAGCTGCTGCTGATTGAACTGACAGCAGCGCAGCTCCAAAAGCATTTTTTCTTTATTTCAGTAACAAAAACACTTTAGTTGAGTTTCTGTTTTAAAAGCTCACGTCAGCAGTAGAGTCAACAGCCGTCTCACTCACTGTATTTATCCCTCACATTGTGCTCTCTGTCTCCAGGACATGCTGGCGTTTCTGTACCACGAGGGTTCGTGGACTCGGGGGATCTTCCGCCGGTCGGCCGGAGCTCGAGCCGTCAGGGAGCTGCGAGACTCTTTGGACGGCGGAGAGGTTCAGCTTCCTCTGACACGCGACCACGTCTTTGTCATAGCCGGAGTGTTTAAGGTAGGACTTGTGTGTATTTACAATAAAATATCAACAAGTAATGCTGGTCCTGCTCCCTGCTTTCACATGTAGATGAATGTTGATGGTTTCTCTGGAGGTAACAGCATCCTTTGTGTACACGCCTCCTCATTGACCCACATGTGTAAACACGACACCACTAATGAGCTGTTTTCCTGCTCTGCTCAGTGTTTCACTGCGTAACGTCGGCAGGACAAGCTGTTCACAGCTGAGGAGCACAGATAGGCTTGTTAAAGTAATCTGGATTATAATCTGTTATTATCTGCAGGGATAACACAGCTGCTGTGCACGAGCCTTTAAACCGTGTCACGTCTTTACACAGCAGCAGCAGCAGCAGCGCCACAGATTCCATTCCATCATTTTCACTGATTATTTGCTCCTGATGTCGTCAGTTTTAATTGCAGTAGATGCACATAAACATTGTTTACTCTCCTTTATAAGAAGCAGCAATAAAAGGTCCAACAGTTCACCTGATGAAACCTGTTCAGAAACACAGAGGAGACGAAACAATTCTTTGCTGTACAGGTTTTATTCTTTATTGCTGCTGTGTGCTCGTCTGCAGGATTTCTTGCGCAGCATCCCGGGCAGCTTGTTGTGCTGTGAGCTGCATGAGGAGTGGATGGAGGCCCTGGAGGAAGATGACGACGAGGAGGAACAGGTGCAGGACGTACAGAGGTACCAGACTCATGCTTTTCACTGCTACAGAGCCGGTCGATGAAGGATTCTAACAGGATTCACCAGAAGGCTGCCACCACATCACCTTTTTATTGCTTCAAAACTTCCTGCAGGATGATCGGTCGGCTGCCCAAAGAGAACGCCCTGCTGCTGCGCTACCTGCTGGCCGTGCTGCACGGTATCCAGGGCAACGCCCACGAGAACCAGATGACGAGCTTTAATTTGTCGGTGTGCATCGCTCCCAGCATGCTTTGGCCTCCTGGAGCGCCTTGTAGCCCCGAGGTGGAGGGAGAGGGAACCAAAAAGGTGAGAGGGAAGAAGGAGATGTACCTGCTGCAGCCGTGACAGGTGGCTGGTTCATGTAGGTTTGAGTGGATGCACGATACATCAGCATCAACAATACGAAGTGCATTAAGGTGGATGAACTCAAACACATCAGGGTGCAACAGTTTTTGCTGCTTGATAATAACTGAGGGAGACTCGAGCGTCTCCTGCAGCCTGCATGTGATGCGTTCAGGGAGCTCTGCTGGAAGTAGCTCTGTTGAGGAACCAGATGCAGGAGGCCTGGAGCCACAGTGAAACCGGCTCTAAATGGATTTCTTCCTCAACGGAGTATCGATTTAGCAGCTAATACACGGTGGAATGTGACCCAGACCTCGGACGCAGTCGGCTGCTCGTGCCACGATGACTTTGACACCCAGGAGGCTGTGATGGTGCAACACGATTAAATAAATCTGTCTAAGCAGCCTCACAGCTCGCAAACAAAGACAAGCTTGTTGTTTGTCTGCAGGTCACACAAACAGAGCAAAACAGAGCATGAGTCGCCTTCAGCTGCTGGAATCTGTTCCTGCACCTCTGAATAGTGTGTTAGAAAAAAAAAAGACAATTCTCCAAACACTCATGTCTGACTAAAGTGTGTAGAGTTACAAAATGCTGCCTGTTCTGTCAACTGAGTTATTTGTGGCCAAAGATCTTTGTGTTTAACTCCAGCGTAGATCAGTTTATTGTAACACCTCTAAAGCACATCAAGGTTTTGTCTCAGGAATGTGCACTCTGGAGGCTAAAAAGTCTTGTTTTAGAACCGTGTGACCTTTTGACATGTGGACTGGAAATGAGCAAAGCATCAAGCTGCTCAGAAATGACACCCTGTGGAAAAGCTTAACATTACAATTATTCCACTGCTGATCTAAAGCTCAGCTGTTCCACTGCTGGTCTGTGTGAAGCTCAGCTGTTCCACTGCTTCAGTGTGTCATTGTGCTGTCGTTGCTGCAGGTTTGTGAGCTGGTGAAGTTCATGATCGAACACAGTCAGCAGATTCTCGGAGAGGATCCGTCGTCGCTGTTCGGAGGAGCTCCGCAGAGAGTCAACAGCGAGGAGACGGGATCAGGTAGGGAGCAGGTTCAAACAGCTGCAGGCTTTGGAGTCTGTAATTCACACTGTGTTACCTTCTGTATGAGTCAGATTCATGCTATTAATCATTCATCTTTGTAGGTACTTCCGTCATATTTATGTAGCTTTTATGAGACAGACGAGTTGGCTCGAGGCTACAAATTAGAGTCTCCAGAAAATATGTGACTGCTTTCAGTGAAGGCATTTAGAGTAAATATGAGAAGGATGTTTTGGATGTGTGTTGATATCATAATAAATATGGCCTCAAGTGACATGAGAACACACACACAGGACATTATTGTGTGTTTAAGTTTAATTTTAAATGTTGCTGCAAACAATAAAACAACACAGTAGTATTTAGCAGTTGTAAACGTTGTTCACTTCCTCAGCTGTGAAACCTGTTCATCCTCATGTTCCTATGTGGTGTTTTCTTTGTTCTTTCTGCCTCCACCTCCTGGGCGGACCGTCAGGGTGCTGGGTCGACCCGCTCACCGACTCTTCCTACGACAGTCTGGAGAACGAGCTGGACAACAGCAGCGGCGGCTCACCAGGATTCTGCAGCAGAAGGCGTCTCCGGCCCAAACCGCTACAAGGCAGCCTGGACTCCATCCTCACCTTCAGCGACTACGACCAGGACACCAACCCGGACCCACGCCACAAACAGAAGCTGCAGCCTCGGGGGAGGTTCAGGAGGCATGAGCCGGACCTGTCCAGCTCCACGCAGGACGCGGTGCTGGCCGAGGCCTCGTCCACCCTGGACTCTCTGTCCCTGGAGGGCCATCGCACACAGCGGCGCCGCTCAGAGCCGGCCATAGCGTACGCGGCCAAGTTCCAGCCGTACACTTCAGGCAGCACCGACGGCCTCACCGGCGAGGACGAGGACGGAGAGGAGGAGCTTTCTAGGAAGCCGAGCCGCCACACACTGACCCTGCCCCACTGCAGAGGTCAGAGCGGGGTGAACGGAGGGAGGTCGGCGGCTCTGGAGGCCAGCTCCTCCAGCCTCTCGTCTACACCCGTCTCCCCCGCACCCACCCGCTCCTCCCTTGACTCTCTGGACTCCCTCAGCAGTGACCAGACCTGGGTGAGCAGGAGGGCGCTTCACCCGACCAAGACACAGCTGCCCTCCAACTCACTGTCCACCTCAGTGTCCACCGCATCCTTCACCTCGGCTGAACATCCAGAGCGGACTTCAGCCAAAGACTCCCCGCCCAGAGAAGCTCTGAGCTGGGGGACTTTAAAAGGCTGCAGGGGCCTCCACCCGAACTCTTGGCTGAAAAAAGACCGACGGCTGTCGCTGACGCAGCAAGACAACTTGGAGAAGGAAGAGGAGGACAAGGCTGGGGTGAGTGGACAAAGGAACTCTTATATATCTATTCATATAGACTAATTATGTCATATACAAAAATGTCACTTCAGTTTGTAGTTGGAGCTGAAATAATGAGTTGAGTTAGTCAACTGTAAGTTTAAGAAGTGGTTCATTTTGAGTGGAATCCTAAAAACTAAATACATAACTTAAGAAGTCATCAGCATAGTATGTGAATGTGAGCTGATGAATGAATTACAGCCACATTTGTATTATGGTTCATGTCTATAGTGACTCAGTATTTGTTAATAGATTTTACCTCCATCCACCCATCCATCCATCCACCTACCTCTGTCATCCTTTATGTCTAATGTGCCACAGTACAGCTGCCATAGTTTGCACATTACTGGTGATTTCCAGGTGTTTGTTGTTTTAAACGCTTTTAATCTACTTATGTTTAAATACACTGGTTGAGCAGATTTTTCACAACAAAAGCCTTCCAGCAGCTTGTTCATGGGAGGCTTTTATACTGAAACATCTGCAGCAAGTGTGGAGCTCTGAGAAAACAGAATTAAAAAGATGTTTCTGAGTGTGACAGTAGATGTTATAAGTTCATGTTACAGCTTCCAGCAGCTATTTGTGAGACTTTACAGCCAAGTTAGAGGTTTATTTTCTAAGGATCCTCATTGTTGCTTGTCCAGTTGAAACCACAGGAACTTAACGAACCCGCTCATGTGACAACCAGCTCTCCTTGACGTTAACGTGAACTGGCCCTTGGTTTAGTGACCTTTGACCTCTTCCAGTAGATGCTGTGGTGAGCACAGGCGGCTAATGATTGGCGTGTCCAGTATTTATGTTGTAGTCCTGGGAGCACCCACAGATGTCACAGGTGATGTCAGACACCTTTCTTTTCTGTCTGAGCAGAGGTTTGACTTCAGTGTGAGGCAGCAGACTGGATGGTTTGTCGTAAACACAGACTCCTTATTGCTTAAAAATTCTCACTGGAGACAGACGTGTGCACTGTGGTTTGAAGGTCTGGATGTAGTTCTTAGCTCAGAGAGCTGAGGAGCTGCTGCACCTCCTCCTCCTCCGGTGTGGTTCCATCTTTAGGTCTCGTCACTTCTGTCATTAATAAACTGTGGTTACAGTTTAAAGACAACTGTACAGTGTCATTCAGCAGATGCTTTTATCCAAAGTGACGTACATGTCAGAGCAGATCCAACACAAGCAAGGATTGAATCAGGAGAAAACAATTGAGATAAGTTCCAGTGTGATGGGGCGTTGATGCCAACAGCAGGCTGTAGGCAGGTAATGGGAATGTATATTTTATATTTATGTAATTTTTTCAAAAATGTTTGTTTTTGTGCTGTCAAGTGCAAAGGTGTTCAGTGAAGAGCTGGTCTTTAGTCTTAAAGACTGAGAGGGACTCAGCAGATGGAACAGAGTTTAGTAACTGGTTCCACCACCGTGGAACCACAGAGTCCAGCTGTTGACTTTGGGCCCTGTTGTGGTGGTTGTATCAGGAGGTTTTTGGTGGTTGGTTGAGTGTAGTGAGTGAGAGGGAGTGTAGATCTGAATGAGAGAGTTCACGTAGGAGGGAGCTGTTCTCATAGTGGGTTTTCCAGCAAGTGTCAGGGTTTGGATGTGATGTGGGCAGCAACTGGAAGCCAGTGAAGTGATCTGAACAGTGGGATGACATGTTGCTGTGTTCTGGATCATCTGCAGAGGTGTGGCCGTGGATGTGGGGAGGCCTGCCAGTAAGGAGCTGCAGTAGTCAGTGTGTGATACTATGAGAGCTTGGACCAGGAGTTGTGCTGCTTGTTCAGACAGGAAAGACCAGATCTTCCTGATGTTGTACAGGGTGAATCGACATGACCGAGCAACAGAGGCCACATGAGCCTTGATGGTTCGTTGGTCGTCAACCATGACACCCAAGTTTCTGGCAGATTTTGAGGGTTTGAGTTGGGTTGAATCAAGCTGGATGTGGATATGTTGTTGTAGAGAGGGACTGGCTGGGATGACAAGGAGCTCAGTGTTAGAGAGGTTGAGTTGAAGGTGGTGATTTGTCATCCATGTTGAGATGTGTGCAAGGCATGATGAGATCTGGGCACAGACTGTGTGGTGGTTTGGTGGGAAAGACTGGGTATCATCAGCATAGTGATGGTATGAGAGACCATGGGCCTGGATTATTGCACCGTTAGACACAGTGTCTTGCAGATGCTGTAGGAGATAACTGTTCTCTCCTTCCTCTCTGTTAAAATCCACAATGAGCTCTGTGCTGTATCTGTTGAAGATACTGAGTGTTTGTGCTGTGGATCTTTGCCCTCCCTGTGTCTGCAGATGGGATGTTGATGTTCTTGTTTATGGTCATTGTTGTCAGAAGAATGTAAAGTGTTGTTGGATAAACTGAAGGAATAGGTAATGCTGCAGATGAAACCGTCTATGGGTCACAGATGGTGTTTGTGCTTGTGCACACAGGGAGGAGCCACACTGGGCAAACTGGTCCCAGACAGAGGAAGAGCCAGTGAGAAAGGAGCAACGAAAGTCACCTCCAGCAGCCAACTGAAGTCCAAACCATCCAGGAGAGGCTCCAAAGATGGAGGGAACCACGCGAGGGTGGGACCGGGTCTGGAGCATGACAAGCTCCGACACCCTCAACACAACTCCTCCAGCCCTCCCTCCCACCACCGCTCCACTGGGAGCCTCCAGTTTCCCAAATCCTTCCCCTCTCCAGAGACCCTGGTAACGGTCAAGCAGCTCAGTGACGTCCACAGCAATCCTAAAGCTGACATCAGCACCCAGAGGAGGGCGGCGCAGAGCGGAGCCACGGAGCTGAAGCAGCCGTCTCCATCTCTGTTTTACAAGCACAGCGGACCGTCTCTGTCCCTGTTCAAGCGACAGAAGTCCTACTCTGCAGAAGAAGAGTGTAACTCCCGGCTCTATCAGCGCCGTGGGTCGGAACCAGGCCGGCAGGTGGTGGACCGAGCTGCCACTCTGACCAGGGCAAGGCTGCCCAGTGATCCGGGACTCAAGGTGTCAGAGGTGGATTCACAGGGAGGTGCCTCAGAGGCCCAGTTCTGCCTTTCTCCTCACGCTACCAAAACGGTGAGGGACTACTTCTCGTCCCACCTGCACAGCAATCCCCACAGCAGCCAGCAGGTGGCGCTGGCTCTGGTGGAGAGTCGCAGGGAGTGGCTGAAGAGATGCAGCGATCCATCAGCAGAACCAGACTTTGACCAGCTGCTGTTTGCTGAAGAGTCCTATGTGTGATTATGACTGTGGGCTGGACTGAAACCAGGTCAGATAAGTGAAACACAAATCACCTTAAGTACAACAAGATAGAGCCACAAACGCACAACTTGAATGTGGTCATAAAGCAAGGCCATGGTTGGGTTTAGTGTTGACAGCTGCTGGGATGCTCACTCAACATCTAGAAATTGTCGGTTTGAGTTTGCAACGCAGCCTGAAGATGAACTTTTTTTTTTTGCCAAAGTTGAGGCAAAACCTACTCTGACATATGACTGGCTGTGTTGTATAAGTATACCTGCCTAGTGCTTATTGCCATTAAGGGAAGTGTATTAATTGTCCTCAAGGCTGGATTTACACATGCACAAAGAATCTGTATACTGACAGGACAGTAACTGTGATCAAAGCAGATCTGTTGTTTTGATAGCTCATTTGAAGGGTTTTGTATTTAAATATATTAGGCCAAAGGTAAACCTGCCAATTGTAAAGTACCTGCTGTTGCCTTGTTTTCTTAATCAGAGTTGTTGTCTTTGGATGCCTGATAGCCGATTGCAGCTGCAGCACATTAGAATAATGAAATTGTGAAGGGCAACTAACAGCAACTTGTACTTCCTGAGCAAACAAACACACAGGAGATCGTAATTAGTTGGTAAGTGTGATTGGGACTTGGTGCCAGGTAGGTGTCAGGCGTTGTTGATTGAGTGTCAATGGGCAGGGTGGTCTCTCTGTTTCTACTGGTCAGTATATCAGATAGGGGTGGGTCCAGCCCTAATCCCGTTGGGTATATAAGCAGACATGCAGTCCTGGAGCGTCAGCGGAAGCGTCAGCCTGCATGTCAGACCTCGTTGCGTGAAGACCGAGGTGAGTAAAGACCTGCGAGTCGGCCTGCGCGAGTCCGCCGAGCAGGGGACGCCGTGGGGCGCCTTACTCGGTTTTTGTCCTGCTAGCTCTACTCTCCGGACTACCATGTGCTGTAGCAAAGCTTTTCAGACAATGGGACCCTGCAAACCTCCTTCAGTCTTGCTGCATGGAACTGCCAGTTCACTGTCACCTACCCAGGTAAATCTTCACATGTTCAGGTTCGCGCCCTGACCAAAACTTGGTTCCATCCAGAAGACACTTCCACACCAACTGCTCCCAACTCCTTCTCCAACACACACCTGTGCTGTTGGACAAGGAGGTGGTACAGGTGTTCTCACTTCCAAACAATGGAAGTTCACTAAGCTCTCTCTGCCAAGCACCAACTCCTCTTCTGAATACCCGGCAGTCAATCACTGTCACTGCACCAGTTAAGCTCTTTGTGGCTGTCAGGGTGTCAGCTGGGTACCTTTGTAGTCTGACTACACATGCTACTCTCTGCCATTCAAGACTATGAACATTCACACAGTCAAAGCCCAAACAACTGACTTTGCTCAAGCAGGTCTCCCACACATCAGCTTTGTACTGAGGTCCTGGCTTCTGTGCCTCCTGTAGCTAGTTCTCATCACTCCCAGTTGACAACAAGCCCTCAGACACTCTCTGTTCCTCACTGGACTCCCCTGTGAAGAAGCACTGCCCTCTAACATCCCAACCCACTCATACCTCTATCCAGGCAAGTCACCACAAAAAGTACTGACAGTCAATGGCATAAATCCAAAAGGCCTAACATTATTCTCCACAATGACAACTGCAAAGACCAACTCTTCTTCTTCTTCTACTACTACTACTACTACTACTACTACTACTACTACTACTACTACTACTACTACCACCACCACCACCACCACCACCCTTCACTCTGCTCACCACATTCTTCACAGACTAAGTCTCTGCAATCAATCAATCAATCAATCAATCAATCAATCAATCAATCACTCACTCACTCACTCACTCACTCACTCACTCAATCAATAACTGCTTCACACAGCCCATCTCTTCTCAGTGTACACAACCTCACCTGGTGCAATAATCCACTGACAAATCCCCACCATCAACTCAGCCTCCCTAAGACTGAGCTCCTTGTCATCCCAGCCAGTCCCTCTCTACAACAACAAATCTACATCCAGCTGGAATAAACGAAACTCAAACACACTGAATCTGCCACAAACTTGGGTGTCATGTTGATTCACCCTGTATCTAAACAAACCAACCATAAAACACCCAAACAACAAATCACAACTTTACTACAGAGCAAGGTCTCACACCAGGTTAAAAGACTGAATAAAAGTGGGTCTTGAGGTTGGTTTGGAAAGCAGACAGTGACCATTCACTTGGACCTCAGCACCTCAAGCTGACTGGAGATACCATGCAGGGGCACAGGGGTGAAGAAGCTCACAGAGGAAGGGCGGGGCGAGGCCATTTAAAGATTTCCTTCCATCATCTATGCACCACTTAATCCTCACTGGGGTCACAGGGGACTGGAGTCTATCACAGGGCTACACTTGGAGACAAACAACCAAGCACATTCACACCTACAGACAATTTAGAATCACCAATTAACCTCAACATGTTTCTGGACTGTGGGAGGAAGCTGGAGAACCCAGAGACTCCACGCACAAAGATCCCGGGTGTCCTCACCGGGACCTTCTTGCTGCAAGCCAATGGTGCTACCAACTGCACCACCTTGCAGCCCCATTTAAAGGTTTAAAAACACATAACAGAATGGGCATAACATGCTCCAGTCAGCAGACGGGCAGCAGCGCTCTGGACTAACTGGAGACGTACAAGGGAGGACTGGCTACCTCCACAATAAGGTGCATTACAGTCATCCAGCCAAGACGTAATGAAGGCATGGACTGCTGTTTGAAAGTGCTGATGCACCTCAGCAAGCTGCCTGAGGTGAAACAACTCAACCTGACTACTGCACTAATTTAGTGGTCCAACTGAAAGTCACTGTCCATCTTAGAACCCAAGTTAGTCACAGTGGACTCCACACAAACTGCCAAACGACCCAAATCCACAGAGGAGGATCCACAGGAGCCACTAGGGCCAAACACAATTACCTCTGTTTTCCTCTCATTGACATTTAGGAAGTTAAGGGCCACCCAGGCTTTAACATCCTCAAGACATAACAGCAGGGGTTTGAGAGAAAACGCATCACTTTTTCTCAGGGGGACACACATACATCTGGCTGTCGTCAGCATAGCAGTGACAAGCACCACCATGTTTTCTGGGGATAGAGCCTAAGGGGGAAAGCAGGGGTCCTACAATTGTAATATCTACATCTGACTTTGTGGAATTAACAGTATAGAGATCAGTGGCACACAGTTTGACATGTCTGTAAGTCAGCTTTGACTTGTCAGAATTGAATTGCAGATATCTCCAACTGTATGTCATTGACTTCTATACCATTAATTCCACAAAATCTAAAGTAGCTACTAAATGTTACAAGAGCTTGCCAAGATCTGGTCTTTCCTGTCTGACCATGCAGCACAACTCCCAGCACAAGCTCACACAATATCACACATTGATGACTGCAGCTCCTTACTGGCCCCCACATCCACAGTCAAACCTCTGCAGATGACCCACACTGCAGCAGCACATCACCCCACTGCCCAAATCAAATTCTAAACTCTCACACTTGCCCACAAAACCACAATGACAACAGCTCCCTCTGACCTGAACTCTGTCAGTCAGGTCTACACTCCCCACCGCTCACTACTCTCAGCAAACACAAGGCGCCTCATACAACCACCACAACAGGCCCGAGGTCGATAGCTAGACCGTTACCAAACCCTGTTGGATCTGCAGAGTTCCTCTCACTCTTTCATAACAGACTGAAGATCCAGCTCTCCACTGAACACTGAAGAAAAACCAAACACCAATTCCTATCACCTCCCACTCTGACTGCCCCCAGGCACCAAGGTCCAATCACACTTCAATTTGTTCTACAGCACTTATGCAGGTTGTTGTCTCCTGACTAGATCCTCGCTTGTGTTGCATCTGCTCGCACGTGTGCATCTGTTCCTTGAAACCGTACAACTGCTACAAGCTACATTCACACACAGCTATGATGCATATGTTACAGTATCACAATAAACCTGAGTTTGGTTCAAGCAGGCAGCTTTTCTGCATCCACACCGTATTAAAACATTAACAACAGGACACATTATGGGCAGGAGTGTAAATGCAGCCTGGGTCGTACACACTGTGACTGTGTAGAGAGCAGCACTTTGCTTTTCCTATTACGTGTATATTAATCATTGCATAATGAAGAGCAGCTTATATGAGTATAGTTCATGTTATTTACATGTTTCAACTTTGCACAAGTTCATTAGTAAAGCTTTCTTAGTGATGTGCTACGTTTTGCCAACTGCACTGTGTCTGTAGAGCTCACTGCTAAAAGAGTATCACTGCTGAACACGTACTACGAGACGCTGAAGTTTAGCTTCCTGCACTGAGCCGCTGCTCTTTAAAGATCTGTTCTGCAGTTTGTTGACATGCAGCTTCCACACGTCCACAGCAACTTCAGTTAGTTACAAACAAACAGGAGAAAATCACAACGATAAGGACGATGTTGGATGTCTTTGCAAATCAGAGACGTTTCACAATGTTTTTCCAGCTCTTTTTAAGTTATTATTGTATTATTATACCATGCATTCCTAATTCCTACAGCTTCTCTGCATCACAGGATGACTTGTTTTGTATTTGTTGCCAATAAGGTGGTTTTCACATCAGCCTGTACTGATTTGAATTCTCCATGTGTGTCGTGTTTTTCAAGCTTTTCACTTTATGCAGCTTAAACCTTCCAAACAAACTGTTGCTTTCTTAAACCGCCTCCTTATTGTGTGCGCTAATAAGCTTTCAAGTCTGCTTTTACAAATAAAACCACATGTTCAAACCTGATGATCTCTGTTATTGCTTGACATTTATGGCAAAGACTTTAAAGGGCGACGCCAACGCTTCTCATGTGTGAGGTGCATCAAACATGTAAACTGAAAGCTCAACACGCCTTTAAAAATGTACATTTTTTTATTATTATTTTTCACTCTATACACAGATATACGTGTGCTCTAGCTATGTACAATCACGTGATGAAGTCTGGTTACATGAAGGATTGGATCAACATAAAAACAGTCTGGCTTTACATACGCAGACACATAAAATATAAGGAGGGTGGGACGGTCGTCACAATCAGCGTAAACCTCTAAGGCGTCCAGAACTGTTAGCGGTTCAGTCAGCTGTCTACCTTTTCCTTAGAAATGACTCAACTCACACGTACAAACAAGATCTGAACTTAAAAACTGTAAATTCAGTCACAGGAACAGATCATTTCTTAGAAAATGGAAGGCACGGCTACAAACTGAAGTCAGAGCTAATAAAAGCCGTCCTCGGTGACAAAACATTCTGTGTGACGCTGATTAAAACAAACAGACCAGATGACACGGCGTCCCCGGCTGATCTTAGCTAGACAGCAGGTGTTTCTCTCATAAATACTTGGTTAGGATTCCACACTAGAGCAGCAGCAGCAGCAGCAAGGTTCTGCCTTCTTGCCTCCTGGTTACTGAGAGCTGTCTCTCCTTTTTCTAGGACTTGGACATTTTTTATAAAATAGTAAGAAACAGTTTTGTGGCAGCACCGACAGAATTCCACCTACCATCGTCCCCCATGCGCACACGTTGTACCCTCGCTTCCGACCGGGCGCACCCACACTCTCTACATTCGTGTCTCTCGGCTACAGGCGTCCGGTTAAGACGATCCGTCTTTGCTTTGTCGGATGTCGGCTACGCTCTCCGGGACTCTGGCCACCATCCCCTCCAGGGACTTCGTCAGGCAGATCTGGCAACCCAGACGAGACCTGTGGGGGGAAATGAGGAGAGAACAAGAAGTTAAAAGGCTACAGCTGACAGCCATGTTCCTCCTGACTGTTATCACTCTGACTTTGGCAAGAACTTCTAGTTCTATGACAATTACTGAGTTCGCAGCACAGCCATTGTCTTTATCAACACATGGTCTCATTAGTCTGCATTTTCGTCCCTATTTCATACCGTTTCCTTGTCTCACAACAGAACAACGTGTAAATGACAACAGCGTTCTGGTGAATTCAGCTGCATTAACACCCAGAACATCAGAGAGCAGGACACAAGCCGACAGATGTAAAGTGCTTCCTCTGCTTTTTCCCTTCAGCTGTTCACACATCATCTGTGCTTCGATACCAAAACTCTGCACTTCACAAACCGCTTTTTTGTTCCGTGATCATTTAAAGCACTCCAAATACTTCTCAATCAGGACTTTGTCGTGCTGCACTGACTGCTGCTGACTGAGGTCATGATGCAACACTCACACAGTGATGAAGGACATCGGTTAGAGTTACCTGAACTAACACAAACATATTTTAAGACATGACATCATCGATTATGCCGACCAATGGCAGCAGCTCTACTATTTCTTTTACATTCTTCTCTAAGCTTCCAGGTGTGCTGTGATGAGTGACTCAGGCCCTGATCCTGCTGTAAAGATGCACATGCAGCACACTGAGGGGCTCTCCTGTGTTTACTCCTTTGTCTCCGGCTGATTAACTGATCGGCTCTGACAAAGCTCATTATCTCGACAGAACCATCTCATCAGCACCGTGCGGGCTGTGGGCCTTTCTTAAAAGGATAAGGCTGCCATTGTTCATCCTATTACTTTTTATCATCACAATCTACAGCAAATACAACAACGGTGACGACGTTCCACTGAGGTGTGCTGCTGATGTGTTTAAACCTGACGCGTGTGGCTGATGTTCCTGCACAGTAGAGCGCCGCCGTTCTCCAGAAACAAGTCAAACAAACATCTGGGTGAATGTGTGTAAGTGTGGATATGTTCCTTCTGTTAGTTCTAGATACATCCGGTACAATCTGGTGCGTGCAGGCGTGCGTCCTTACGTGTCGGTGAGGCCGTAGGCTAAGTCTAGCATGTCCATCTCCTCATCTGTGACCGGCCCCAGCTTCTTGTACACTTCCTCGTCAAAGATCAGGTGGCACGTGGAGCACGCCAGCGTTCCCTCGCACGCTCCTGCAGCACGCAAACACGCTCGGTTACATGCAGGCAGCTATCTGATGTGAGCAGTCCAAGCGTAATGTACCAGTATGTGTGTGTGTTTACGTACCAAATCCATCAAAGTCGAGGTCTTCGCTGATGACAATGTCCAGCAGAGACTCTCCAGGCGCCCCCTTCACCGTGATCTTCTCCCCGTCCCGGTTGATGAAGTGGACCGTCACCTTGTTGTCAGACCTGAGACACACAGAAGCACACTGACATTTTAAAACGTCACAAGACGGTAACGGGATTATCTGACCACCTATTTATTACATATTCTGTTACTCAAACTCATCACAGGTCTCTAAAGTCGGTGCACCGCTACTGCTGATCTGTACATTCACTCCACTCATGAGTGCCTGTGTTTGCTGCCCTGCACTGCCCTCTGGTGGACAGGTCGCCAAAACAACACCATTTATCAGAGCCACCAGCTGTACAATCAGAAAGACTGATTAAAGTTTCTACTTTCTGCCACTCCTGACTTCAAACCTTCCATCTGGGACTGACCACCCACCTCAAAGATTAACTCCATCACGACTACTCACCAAAATCACTTCATTCTTAAACTCTCATTTAAAGATTTGCCAAAAATAAGTCACCAAGTTACAACTAATGAGTGACTCGACGAAGACCAACCAAAAACATCTGGGACTTCTCAGGATGGAATCATGGAGCAGACAGGAGACGAGTAAGGACATAAATTACAACCTAAATCGTGAAATATCACAAGTATGTAGAGGCACTACTTTTGCCCAGTGAGGTTAACATCTGTGCACATTTGGAAACATGTTGATTGTTTGTTTTCTACTTTTCGTAACATAAATAATCAAGGAAATGTTTGATTTTTTCTTTCTTGATGAGTTTTGACATTTTAAGACTTCATACTGACAAAAAACGTGACGGATGGAAGCAAAAACTAAACAACAATGGAGCTGCGACACCTCATCTAGAGTCAACTGTACATTTACGCAACTATTTTGGTAATTTAACAAACATTTAAGTTGTCTTCAAGCAAAACAGTTCAAATATTGAACGTTTTCAGGTTTCTGCTTTTCTAATCTTGTAGGATGTTGGACGGTTTGAGACGCCGGCTCTGCTCTGGCTGAAGGAAACTGATGCATATTTTAGAAAACTGGTATTTAAATGGATTTGAGTTTACATGAAGTCATTTCAATCCATCAAAACCTAAAACACTGAAATCTCCAGGTTTGGTATAATTTAAATTCTGAACAGGACACGACAAAGCTCGTGTTTTTATCGTCTTAGAAATATTTCAACCACACAACCTGTCTTCCTTTTTCAAGCCACAGACACATTCTTACACAACTTGGTCTCGTCACACTTTGACCACTTCAACAAACTCTTGGTCTGCAGAACATCCGCTACAGAAGCGACCGGATCTCAGGTGTTTTAATCAGAGGAGCGTTTGCAGTCAGAGTCCTGAAGCTCTGCTCAGCTCAGCCACTGACCCCCTTTTAAATCTCTACTTAAAAACATGCTTTTGTCTGAGAACCTTTGCTCATTTTACTTCTTTATCTGCTTCTACGTCTTGTTCAGATGCTCCTCGTTGCTGTGACCTTTTGGTTCTGATCTCATGTGAGCCTTCTACAAATAAAACTATTATTATTAATAAATTAAACCAGTTCTGTGCACAGTGGGGTGATGACGCTGTGCAAACCTTTAGAGAACCTCCAGCATTTAACTTGAACAACACACGTTATGATCCAGACACAACTTTTTAAACTCTGAACTGGTCAGTGTGGTGTCATTTCTTCTGAACCAGCACGATGCTTTCAACTGTAAACCGAGTGCCATGGATCTGAAAACAAACTAAACGTCGTCTCTTCTGTGTCACAGAACGAAGGACAGAAAGATAAACTGTTACTGTGTCCGCAGCCTGCTGATTAGAAAACATATTCTCGTTGAAGCGATCCAGTCTGTGTGTTTGCCTCTCAGAGAACCGATGATATCCAGCTTTACAGAACAAACCCAGTGACCTCTCGGGACTCTGAACAATCTGCTCTAAACAACAAACTCTCCTCCTGCACCACATGACCGTGTAAGACCAACACGTGTAAAGACTTGTTAATGGTCACATTAGACTTTAATGGGCCGACTGGGATTCCTGAGCGCCTCTGGGGGGCTCTGACGTGGGCGCTGCAGGGACGGTGTCGACCAGAACCTTCACCCTGAGCTGCAGGTCAGCAGATAGCAGCCACACAAGCAGACTGGCCCTGAGGAGGCTCGTATCTGAGCGGGGAGACGGATCGCTGTGGCCTTGTGGACGTGCAGTGATTCAATCACTTCTAAGGACATCAGCTGTGCTCATTACTTGTGGCACTAGTGCACATATGCAACAGTCACACATATGTTAGTGGGACTGGTCTTGTTTTTATGCAGAGGAAGTATAAATCCCAAACTTCATCAGCTTGATTGTCCAAGCACAAAGTTCTACTATGTGCAGCTGCAGACATGTTAGAAAGTGAAGCAAAGTTTAGTGCAAATGCTTTGAACAGGAATAAATACGATTATTAACAATTAACACATTAAATGCATGAGCAGAGAGCAGTGCTGCTGGAATAAATACAGATTACAGCTTGGTAATGTGCACTCAATGCATTCATAAATAACATCACATCTGATCAGTAAACTGAGCTCCAGTGATGTGAATGTAGACTAACACAGATTAATAACTCACCAGTTTGCTTAAACGCATCTTTCTGTTTACTGTGGAGCTCTGAGTGTTTTCCCCATGTGCTCTATTAAACAAGTCTTAGAGAGATTTGATCCAAACTCTTTCCTACCTTGAGGCACACATTCCTGCTCCGTTACACACAAACAAACACCGACAACCAAACCAGCCCGTTGAAGTGTAACTAAAGCTCAGCTGTCTGAACAAAGAGGCACCATGAGAGCAGCTCCAGTCCGACCTGAAGCTCTCATAACAAAGGTCACATTAAGCTGAAGGGAGTCCGGGGTGTGTTTCTGTGCCTCCGACCCGGACGGGCCGTTGTGTGGCGGTGTTAGCTGTGTGTGTGTCGGTGAAGGACGTACCTGAGCGGCTGCGTGCCGGCGGTCAGACTCCTCCGAGCCGTCAGGAAAGCTCCCCAGCTCGCCGCCGCCGTCCTCCGGGAGTATCCCCGTAGCCTGACGTGGGCCAGCCGTCCTAACGCGGTCACCAAAGACATTTCAAGTACAGAAAAGTAAACTAAAAACCCGGAGGAGAAACTAAACGAGCTGCTCCGTGCACACTTCACTTCAGTCGAGTTTGACTTGTCGCACCGAGCTAGCTAGCTAGCGGCTAGCTTGTTTTAGCTGCTAGGAGTCACTCTGTCACTGTCGCGCTCATTGCGTAACGTTCACCAAACGGCGGCTCGCGGTCTCCGCTCACTAATCAATCAGCTGATTGACACTTCACCGCCCGTAGAAAGCAGCAGAACACCGAGGAGGAGCAGAAGCTACCAGCTGCCGTCACACTTCCCAGTCTGATGCGATCAATCCACCAACATGAGACATTCCTCATGTTTCCTGGTAAAGAACCAGCTCTGGTGTCGGAACGGCTTCCGCCACGGTGTCAAAATAAAAGCTTTTACAGAACAGCCACTCGGGAAGGACCTGTTTGTTTTTTAGCTTATATGAGTCACATGCAGATTTCCATTAGCTCGGGAAAAAAAAGATAAAATATAAATGATTTTCAATAATTATAGTCTGACGTTAATGTTTCATTTGTTAAAAAATTATGTAGAATTGGATAGAATAGAACTTTATTGATCCCTTTGGTGCAAACCTCAGGGAAATTATTGTACGAGAAAAACAACACAACATCAGCGACAATGTGCACCATTATCCAGCACAATAACAAAACAGACAACCAGCAGTAAAATAAATTATCTGTCTAAGAGCGTTACAAGCTTTACTTTATGCAAAACAAATAATGTTACACTGAGCTAGCTTGCTGTAGCACTAGAAAATAAATTTCATCATATGTATAAGTAACAACTATCAAAATAAGGTGACGTTTTTGGTCCTGAGGTTTCATCTTTTCTCTTAGATCCGAGTCTCACTCTACAGGTAGAAGTCAGGTTATTAAACGATAACGTATAAAGAGCTACTGGAAAACTATTAAGTGTCGTCCTCCTCAACAGCTAGTTGTATATGTTACGTGTAAACACATTTTATTTCTAACTTAAGTTTTCCAATGTCATTTTCATCATGTATTTAAAATTACTCAAAATGAAATTAATAAGCACAGGTTTAATCACTTTTATTGTGAAGGCTGACCCGCCGCTCTTCCTGTTGTGTGTTGCTTAATTATTTCTACCTTGACGCCGCGAACTCAAACCCTCCCGTGCCCGTTCCACGTGCGTGCGTAAATTTGCCAAACAGGGTGTGAGTGACGAGTGTCGCTCGTTTCGTGTCACCGCGTCGGCCGGCGGAGCGGAGTTAGGCCTTGGTCCGCTGTGGGACAGTTTGACTGACGGGCTGTCACCGCCCCGCCGTGTACCGAGCGTTGATAGGAGACGATGCAAAGTGTTGCTCAACAAAGGTCAACGTCTTCCACAGTTTGGACCTTCACTCTGTGCTGCTTTGCCAAAGGAAGCACAGAAAACACAAATCAGTGTCACCACACACAACCTTGAACTTTTGAACTGTTTCAATCGGGCCAATCTGCTGATAAACACCGCGAGATCAGGATGGCAGAGGGTTGAATAGATGTGATAATCTCCTCTGACTATCTGTGATGCAACCAGAGAGCCTTTATCAGGGGCAAGGATGGGACCATTTCTCACATGGGGGGCATCGTGTCATGTTAGTTCCTCTGTAGGCCACGAAGTGTTTTTGTTTTTACTCTCATCATTTGTTGATGCAGACAACACTGTCATTTAGAAGCTCATGATAACCTATACACAGCATAAAAAGCTAATTTTTTTTAAAGGTTACCCTCAATGAACTACAAACCTGGAATGTTTGCTAAAGTTCTGTTTTTTTTTAGTTGTGGATGAATCTCATAAGGTCGTATTTTAAATTACATAACTACAACTAAAACCTCTAAGTCAACAGTGTCCTTGCTCTGCTGTTTGGTTTCATCCTTTCAGGCTTTACCAGTGTGACGAGCTTCAGCTAAATCCACAGCCAAACCTGAATCGCGCACACTTTAACTAATGAAAACCAGTCAGTCTTTACTTCCACATAGAACAGACCAATCTTGATACCATTATACACCGTGTAAGATGCACTGCGTTCTCTGAATTGATGCAAAATCAGTACAAACATGATTGGTCAGCAGTACTTGAGGCTGAATGAGGGTTTGGTTGTATCTTTATGGAACGACGGCCACACAGGAAATGGTTCTGCTACAAAAACACTCCAGCTAACTCCAGTTGTGAGTACATGTGCAACTGTCTAACAGGTTTTACTACTGGTTGTGTGGAAGGACCAGACCGTGGCCTCCCCTTGGCTCCGTCCCTGTTGTCTATACCAGTAGATCTTTCTTATTTCCTTCCATCAGCGGTGTTATTGTTCACACACCAGGTGGAGCCAGAGATCAAGCAGCGTACACACTTCATCATTAACAGCTGGCAGCTCCGACTCCTACTCGGGGCATATGAGACTCCAAAGGGTAAAGAACTCCCACCAACAATGTGTCTGAGATTTAAGGTGTGCCCCACAGCAACATCAAAATGACCTACAAGATACATCTGGTACCCCCAAAACAACCTTCAGTGGCCTCCACGGTGACGTTTACCATCTGTTGTAATCTTCACTCGGTGTCTGCGTTCACAAATATCGATCGGGCTCGAACAAACCGAGTGCCGTTCACCTCTCGTGTTGTTTGTTGGAGCTGGAAAACAGGATGTGTACAGTAGAATAGGATGCTAATGGAAACTGTCAGAGGTCAACGGCTGGCATTTTATGAGCTGCAGTTATATTAGCGTTGTGTTCGAACCTTTATCAGATAAGGAGCTGAAGGCAAAGTTCCTCAAATATCAGTAATCACAGAGCTATAGGAGATTAATCAGTAATCTCATTAGACAGCTACATTGGGGTTTATGGCCGAGGCAGGGAGATATTTATGGGGGACATTGTCTCTCTGAGCTGCTCAGATCTTCACTGCAGTCTCAGGTGAGCAACATACAAACTCAGGGCAGCGCATTAGTGGGAGGTGGTAGAAGAACTAACAATCAAACTAAAACCTGTGTTAAAAGTTGTTCTGATTGTTTTCTATTTACAGGATGTTTACGCTACTCCTGTTGTTCCTGGCTGTGTCAGGTAAGATCTCAATATGTTTTTTTTTTCCACTGTAGCTACGTGTCTTTGATGGATGAAGTTTAGTCAGAAAAGTTCTGATGATTCATTTCTGTGCATTTGCTTTATGCTGCTATACTTACTGGATGATTTACTTTATAGATGATGTGAGTCTCAGGTTTTGGTGGGGTTTTTTTTTTACACAATAATTGTATTATTCTGTGATTAAGACATTATGGATTCAACAACGTATGTTCGAGTTATGAAGCAGGAGCAAAACAGATTTTCCTTGTAATTCTGAAAAAGTCGCAGTTTGCAATGTTAATGAAAAACTTTCCTTTGAGGTAATAACATTTTTTTTGGCGTGATTACGTGGAAACCAAGTTTGTTTCTTATTTTAGGCTTATTTTAAAAATCCATTCCCAATAAGAGGTGTTTGGCAGACTAGAGGTCACTGCGTTGCTACTCCTTGTAAAGAACCGCAAGAATCCTCAGGAAATATCTACGCAATGGGCACGTTAAAGGAGTTTGGTTCATTCTGTTGGATGATCCCAGTTGATTTACTGATATTTCCATGTCCCAATTCATTTTGCCTCCGTGGCCTGTTGCCTTGGCAGCAAAACTGTGGCAAACAGTAATGAGATGAGAGCAATTGACCTACCGACTGGTGGTACAGAAAAGTAGACTTTGACTGTTATTGATTTATGACACTGTTAAAGTCAAGCGGTGGCCCATATATTAGTGTGACACAACAGTTAATTATTGATATCAAAGGCCTCGCACCGTATGTGTCAACTGGCATCGGTATCGGCTTGACCTCAAGGAAACGCAACTGTCGCTTAGGTTCTGCCCGTGGTACATATGAACATCGGTGACCCCGAATGAGGAGCTGGAAATAAGGATGTCATTGATTCTGACTGTAACTCTTTACAGGCCTCCAGGCTGCTCCAGTCGTAGCCCCCAAAGGTTTGCAGAAGTCGACCCACCAACTCCCCGATGGCTCTCGACAGGGTACTGAGCCTTCCAGAAGAATCCTGGTTAATCTCGACACCGGCCTGGTGCAGGACCACATCAGTGAGATGGAAAGGAGAGTAGGTAAGCAAAGGAACAAAGGCTACACCGCCCAACAAACCTCAACGAGATTCATGATAGTATCGTCAGTTACTCTGGTATTCCCTACGAGAGAGTAGCTCTACGCCTAAAGAAGACCGTCTAATCAAAAGACCATCTGTCTTCCAGTCCCAGCTGATGTTCCAGTCCAGAGGAATGGTGGTGGCTGGGTCCGCAAGCAGGAACCCTCTTCTTCTCATCTCCCAGCCGGTTTCAG